CACATGTACCTGTGACATCAGCTCTTGGGGGGCCTGTACTCGCCTCTTTTTCTGGAAAAAAAAACATTAACCTTGGCACGCTGTAGCAGTTGACTGGTGTCCTGTGGGTGCTGTAGGGTCTGCTTGGGTTGGATAGGTACAGAACATTCTAGGAGCTTTCAGAGAGAAGCGAGGGTATTGCTCTCTTTGGAGAAAGAACGTCTGGAGGTGAGGGCCCTGCAGAGCTCCGATGAGCGATTCAGGCCTGTTCTGTTGAAAATTGAAGAAGGCACAGATGTGCCTGCATCTGTTCATGTCCCCAGTATTTACCGAGGAATGACGACAGGTCAGATACTGTGCGTGGCCGGTCAGATGCAGCCCAAAGTCGAGCGGACACAATTTCTACTCTCGGGGAGTGTTTTGTCTAAGAGACGTCGACATATGACTTTGTAAATTTTGAAGGAGGCTCCATATCTTTTAGACAGGAGGGCTAAGAGTTGCCAATCTGGTTGGAAGTGAGTCCAAGATGCTGCTCCGAGGTGGTGATGGCTTGGCGAGCTCACACTACAGGCACTTACGTTATACCATGTGGAGCTGTCTGAAGTGGTGGGCGAGGACCTGGTGGAGAGAAGGAAACATTTGATGCCTCCCTGGACATCCCCTTGCAGCCTGTCAAGCCCCTTCACTTCCAGTCCTGGCTCTCCCAAGGGAGGCAGGGAAAGGAAGGTGACCCCGAGCTGATGATAGGTAGGAACGTGAGGCATGTCTCTGCGGTATCGTTACAGTACCATGCAGGAAGCATGTGCCAAGCAGTGCTAGGTAGAAACACCAGCACTGCCCCTTCTTCCTTCCTACACCGTGCTCAACAGTAGGTGATTCAACCTCTCTAAACCTCAGTTTCCTCCTCCATAAACAGGGATAATTCTATCTACCTCTCAATGTTCTTATGGAGATTCAGAAACAAAATATACATAAAGGGTCTAGCACAGTCCTAGCACATAGTAGGTGTTCAATAAATTCTGGTTCCTCTGTCTTTCCCTCTAGGTTGCCCTGTTCTCCTGTTCCTCTCTTCTTCTGCCTCATGTCCCATTCTTAGTGCTCTGCAGTGTGAATGAACCCTGTATAAGGGCCTGCCTACAAAGTGTAACAGCCCAAAGCTTGGCTGTATCAGGGGTCTTTGCCTTTTGAAAGGAAAATCGAAAGGCACTTAAAAGTCCAAAGAGCAGTGGGCTGATGGCCAGTGGTGTCTGAGACAGATGACACTCCCTCGGCATGGGTAGCCACAGAATCACATGAGTGTAGACTCTCCCAGCCAGAGGCACGCAGTCTCATACTCAGCTCAGTACTTGAAACTCTGTCTTGAACCTGCCTAGTGTCGTGCTTACAGCTCTGGATTCTGAGAGAAGCTGGGGTGGTCTGGGGTCAGCCTGCGCTGTCTCCAAGTCTGCTCTTCTACTCACCTTTGCTTGCATTTTGGTCTCCTTCGTTTCTGGCATTTGCCGGGATATGGAAGCAATAGGTGGGTATACTTTCAGAGATGTCTGTGGTGAGTCAGAAAACTCTTTCATGAATCATTTAAGATCCATGTTGTCCTAACATCAATTATCAGAATTAACTGTTCCTTAAAATGTAAAGAATTGTGCTACAAAGAGTCAACATTTACTTGGGAACTATAAGCCTCTTCCTCCAGTCTTCTGAAGGAGCCCGAGGCAGACACCAGGATAAAGCAAACACCAGCTCACTGTGCGCTAGGTACTGTGTCCCCGTTTCCAAACTAATAAATACTGAATGAGTAAATAATTTTGTTTTCTCTCTGCGTTATAAAGATTCAGTCATATTTGGCCAAGTCACTTCAGGGAATATCATTGAATACTTTTCAAATAGCGTTTTCTGTAAGCCATAGTCTGCTCTTGGAAACTGCCTTACAGATCCACTTAGAAAGTCAAGGTGAAAGGAGGTCTACACACGCTGTGGATTCTACTTTCTATAAAACGCTCCTGAAAACCGAGACCGTCACTCTCGGGACAGAATCAACAGGGGGAAGCACATACTGTCCATTCACACATCTTGTCCCTCACGCATCTGTCTTCTCATGAATTCCAAGTGGGGCTAGAAATTCAGTAGTCTACAGAGGACTGTTACATACAGGAACGATGGGGCCAAAGTGGGACAGAGGTAATGCCATGCTCTGCCATGCTGGGCCCACGTGGGAAGGTTGTGGGTTTGTATCCTGTGGCCTCTCTGCACACACTGGGCATGCCTGCATGTGCCCAGATCTGGGCTGACTGAGGCTGGGGTGGATCATGACAGGAGGACCCTATTGGGGAGGCCTGTCTCTGTCTCTCCTTTTGTGTCTCTCTCTAGGGAAAATAAATAAATAAACTTTTAAAAATTCTAGGAATTACAATTTTACCCAATCATTACAAATCTATGTAGTAAGTGACCAAAAACCAGAAAAATTGATTGGGTCATCAAAAAAGTCATGACATATTTTTCTGTGCAACAATGCGTCATGACTTTTCTGTTGACCTGATAATTAGTTACAGAGAGCCGACTTCTGGAGAGTTAACAATACAATGCTAATCTTTCATTAGCTATATACGGAGTATACATAGGAATACAACAGTGTAACTGTGTGAATTATGTAAAATGCATGGTATATACCAGAAGGTACTAATACCAATGATGTTAGCCATTAATACCACTCATTAACCAGAAAAAATCCATGATTACTTCAAGGTTTTCCTCCACCAAGGCATTCTGGAATTACCCTATTTTTGTCATGGATTTATCTGATCTATCATAAAGAGTTAAACAATCTTGATAGATTTTATGTTAATTTTATCCTAGGCTTATTAGGTAATAGACAACAAACTTTGATTTTCACATACTTGGAGACCAGACACCAGCTCTGGAAGGAAAAGGATCTTTGTTTAGAAAGTTATTATTATTATTATTAATTTTGGAGAGGTTTTTGCTACAGGGCATGTGCGCTCGCCAGAAAGACAGAGAGAGACAGAGACAGAAAGCGAGAAATCACCCCCTGGAGGGATGGCCACACTGCAATCCCTCCTCCTCCATTCTCCTCTCAGGATCTTGGGCATGCACGCAAATGTGCCCGTTGTGAGTTTAAGCCACTGGGTCTGGGACTCGAACTGCAGTCGACTACATGGGAGTCCAGTGATATAGCCATTATGCTAACTGCTGGTCCCTGTTTAAAAAGTTATTTATTGGCCAATTAACATGTGGAAACTATACCAAATAGAAAGTGGAAATGGTAGGTTCATGATATATTTCCTAGGGGTGGAAATATGTCTTCTCGCAGTGAGATAGTAACAAGCCTTGCTGGTGGAGTAAATGGGATCATTTTATTACAATCTCCAAGTAATTATCAGAAATGAAGTTTTCTGAATAATTTTTTCCCATGAGGCTACCCATCGCCATTCAGTCTTCTTATATGAGGGCATCTGGTTTCTGAAAAACCTGTGCCTGAGTTTAGTTCTTCCAAATGTTAGAGCCTTGGGGCCAGCAGGTGGCATAGTGGTTACATTGCTGGACTACCACATAGTTGATAGCAGTTTGAGTCCCGGTCTTGGTGGCTTGAAAATCATGCTGGGAATATGTGCATGCATGCCAAGATCCCGGGAGGAGAAGGGATTACGATGTGGCCATCCCTCCTGGGGGGGGATGATTTCTCACTTTCCCTCTTCACTGTCTCTGTCTCTCTCTCTCTGGCAAAAGCAAGCACCCTAAGGCCAAAACCTCCAAAAAAAAAAAAAAAAAGTTAGAGTCTTTGTCTTGATTCCCCCATCTTGCTGTGATGAGTAGATATATTTTCAGCTGGTTTTCCATCTTCCACTCTACATGTGACTTCTTGTGTCCAAATTGCCCATGGTAGGTCTATGGTGCTACAGCAAATGCAGGTGTTCCACCATAATTGCTCATTAGCAGACTTGATTGCCAAGACATCTGTGGGGTGGGTGAGGGCTGGACAGGAATTTACTGACCATGGTGTCCCCTGGCTGCTCAGAGACCTGGTACCAGCTTTGGATGTTTGGGAGGAAAAAGGATCTTCATTTGGAAATTTACTAATTGCATAGTTAATGTGTGGAAACTATACCAAAGAATATATAAAAATAACAACCTTCCAAAGGGCAAGGTCGACCTCTGCCTTCATTCACAGATGGTTTGCTGCAGTGTTATGTTTAAATTGAAGCCATTTTCCAGAGTATGGGTGCCCAGTGGTTTAGGCTTGGCAGTCACCAAAGATCTCCTTTAGTAGACAACAGTGTGTGGACAAAGTACCAGGTCCGTAACTAACCTGATAAAGCACTTTCACTAGCTTGTGCCTTGTGTTCATTCTCTAATAAAGGGCTAACCTGTGTTAAGGTGCTTAGGGTTTGAGAGTGAGGGTGGGAAATAGTGTTTAAGTTCAAATCCATGGACTCACAAGCGCCTGGATCTCTGAGCTCTTCCTTTCCCTAGGGCATTACAGTTCTATAGCTTTGTACGCACAGAGGCCATAACACTACTGGGAAATATAACTTCACACTGAGGAGGACTTCTCACAGCCTACTTCCTGAAGGGCCCAAGTTCTCATTAGCAATGATAATTTTTTCAATAAATAATTATTTATTTTATTTTATTTATTATTATTTTTAAAAAGTTTGCTATAAGGCACATGCACTCATCAAAGAGAGAGAGAGAAAGAGAGAGAGAGAAAGTGAGAAAGCAAGTGGCCAGGTCCAGGGCTCAAACCATGGTCAGCCATGTGGGAGTCCAGAGCCTTAACCACCACACCACCTGCTGGCCCCAGAAATGCAAATTTTAATCAATAATCAAAAGTGTTCATTCCTAATATGGAAAGAGTCCCCAACATTCTGATGTCAGCAAAAGACTTCTCCATTCCAAGTTGGACCCAGAGAAAGTGAGTGCTGAATTGGCGTCTTAACTGATTTTAGTCTCAGATTTTCTTATAAACAGTCATTCTTCAGAAACATCTGTCAGCCTCCCTTTCCTTCCCCTAGCTGGGGTAAGACATATCACCTTAGGACCGGAGTGCTGAGCTGAGGGCTGCTGTCCTCATCTAACAGGTCATGTGCTTCCAACCACAGCCCCCAAATGGACACCTGTTGAAATAATATTGGAACCACATTTGTAACTAATCGTAACTGAGATGTCAACTCAATTAATCTGACAACAGAAATGCCCAGGAGATGCCGCTCGCCCGGGCTAGTGTTCCCAGTCAAGCCCAGGCTTGTTGTCTATTACCTGAGGAGCCCAGGACAAAATTAACACTAAATATAAGGTAATTTAATTAACTCCTCCTATCCCAGCAGGCAGGTCCCAGCACCCTGGGCACCCCAATCTTCTGAGGCAGAAGAGTATGGTACTCCCAGTGGGTAAACACTTAGGTTGTCCTTTCATTATTTTAAGTGGGTGATTTGCACCCAAAGAACTCCATGAATCTCCTCTGGCCACTGAAGCAGAAGTATAGGTCTTCCTTACCTTTATAGACAATGGTGAGAAATTGTGTGAAATTCTTTTACAGGAAAAGATACCTTGTGAGAGTCAGGATCCTTCATGGAACTCATGTGCTTCCTAGACAGAGGGCCAGAGAGGGAGAAAGAAAGAGAAGGAAACAGATTTGGTTTAAAAGGGACAATAAGAAGAAGACAGTTTTAAAGGATTTAGAAAAAGAAAAAGCTATCATAAATAAAAGAAAAAAATGCACTTTGTGAAATGATTTTTTCATAAAGACATTTCTCGAACTGATATTTTTAAGGGACACAAAGGTCTCTTTTATTTCCACATTTGAAGAACACTGACCTTTAACTCTCTCCTCCCTAGTGAACTGAACATCAGCCTATTTAATTGTTCTTCCCATGTTTATACTTTCCAAGGTTAAGCCAACACAAAGGACATGAAGCAACAGGTTATGGTCTTCATGGGTGCAAACTGGGCCTGTTAAGTCGGTAAAGCTAGGGGAGACAAGTGGAAACGGGAGCCCGCTCGAGCTGTCAGTGTTAGTGAGCTGAGCCTTTCACGTATAAATAGATTGCCCTGGAGGTCAGGGGCAGAAGGTGGGCTTCTCATGGGGGTCTCTGGGGTAGGAGAGCCTGTTGGCTTCTAAGGCCATGTTCTTTCCTGGCCCTCCTGGTGACAAGTGACCACCATGCTAAAGGGTGCCTGGGGCTCGGTCTGTGTGGTTGTGGGACCAGGACTTCTCTCCGTGGAAAGGTGATTAGACATCCATCAGTAATTGTAGCACACTGTCAAGTATAGGTGAAAGAAGGCACTGGGTCAGGAAATATCAGGTCAATGAAACATGCAGGCTTCATTACAAGGCAGACCAGTGAGATGAGCTAAAAGCATTAAATTAGTATAATTAATCTGCATCAAGAAAACTTAAACTTTGAGAGGAGACTGTAGTTGATGAAAGCCCCAACCCTGAGTTCTCTACTTGGGTGACCTTGGGTGCTCTGGGTGCCAGTTTCCTTGTGTCTTTGGGGAGGGAGTTGGAGTTCTTGATCTAACAGTCACCACGATGCCATTTACTTGATAGCTCAGGACTCCAAACGCCTTAAGCAGGTGCTTTTCAATCACATCTGCACATTATAATTACCAAAGGACCTTCTAAATGGCCCAATATCCAAGTCAGGTCCTAGACCAATTCAATCAAGGTCTCTGGAGGTAGACACAGAAATCAGTATTTTCAAAAGTGCTCTGGTAAAAGTGCTCTGGGATTCTAGTATATGGCCAAGACTGAGGACCACGAAACTCTTGTTATTTCTAATAAGTAGGAACAAGAGACTTCTAAATATTATACCACCATCCTTAAGCAGACCTGATATTTTCTTGATGGGAAAAGATCAAATGAATTACTCAATCTCATTCTTGGACACATCTGCACATTAGAATTATCTAGGGACTTTCAAAAGAGCCCAGTGCCCAGGCCACGTCCACAGCAATTTAATCAAGATCTCTAAGGTAGACCAAAGAATCAGAGGCCCCTAAAAATTTTGTCGAAAAGTGGGTTAAGGTGAGCTACTCTTTTTGGTGTGGTGTGTTGTCTAGTGTCCTCCTCCAAATTCATGGACTTCCTGGAACATCAGAATGTGACCTTATTCGGAAATAGCTTTTCCAGAGGTCATGAAGTCATACCGGAGTAGAGGGGGTCCTTAATTCAATGTGACTAGTAGCTCATAACAAGAGAAGAGACACAGAGAGACCCAGGGATAATACCATGTGTATTAGTCTGCTGGGGTTGCTATAACAAAATATCCAGGATTGGGTGTCATGAACAATGGAAATGTGTCTTCCCACAGTTCGGGAGGCTAGAAGTCCAGGATCCAGGTATTGCCAGAGTTAGTTTCTTACGAGGCCTCTCTCCTTGGTTCTTGCTGTCTTTCTGTATCCGTTTGTGTTCTTATTTTCTTCTGCTGCTTTTTTTTTTTTTCAGAATTATTTTATTTAATGTCAGTTATTTATTTATTTATTTATTTTAAATTGACCAGAGAGGGGAAAAGAGAGAGAGAGGGAGAGGGAGAGGGAGAGGGAGAGGGAGAGAGAGAGAGAGAATGAGAAAGCAAGCCACCAGATTCAAGACTGAGACTGCAGTTGCCACGTGGGAGTCCAGTGCCCTTCACCAGCACACCTCTGCCAGCCCCCTACTCTCTTCTTATAGGGACACTAGTCATATTGGATTAGGACCCACTCCAATGACCCCGCTATCATTTAATCACACACCTACTTTTTTTTTTTAGGTTTTTGCCATAGGGTGACTGCACTTGCCAAAGACAGAAAGAAGCAAGGTGAGAAATTATCTCCCAGGGAGGATGGTCATACCAGAGTCCCTTCTCCATTCTTCTCAGGATTTGGGGCACACATGCACATGCACTCGATGTGATTTTCAGGTGGCTGGGTCCAGGACTTGAACTGTGATCTACCATGTGGGAGTTCAGCACCTTAATCACTATGCCACCTGCCTCCCACCTTAATTACCTCTTTAAAGGCCCTGTCTCCAAATACAGTCACATCCAGAGGCCCTGCAGGTTAAGACTTCAACATATGAATTGGGGGGGGGGCACAATTCAGCCCATCACTCCATGTGAGGACAGAGTCAGAAGTCGGAGTGATGTGACCACAAGTCAAGGTTGTGCTCATGGGCTCCTGGCTTTCTGAGATAGAGTCGTAGCACCTGTCTGGCATGGATGAAGGTCCCAAGTTCCTTGTTGAATGAATGAATGGACGAGTGAATTTAAGCAGGCAAGTCTTTTCAACAGGAAAAGAACTCCAGTGAGGCATTTCGTGTACAGAAAGTCAATGGACCTGGGTCCTGCTCCTGGCCATGTCTAGCCACTGTGGGGCTTGGAAGGAGCCACTCACTGAGTCCCAGTCAGAGGGGGAACTTAGGATACACGATCTCCAACATGGTGCGACTCAGTCACTTCTTTTCGCTCAATGAAGATAGCGTAGGCATTCATGGTCCTCTTGACTTTGCAAATCAGCCAAGGTGTATAAGTGGGCCCCTCGAAGGCTCTCTGGGAGGAAATAGGGAGACCAGGCAGTGCTTAGCAGGTGCTTGTCCGAGTAGCTGCAGATAGAGAAAACAGAAGGTTGTGCAGAATCCCAGGCCTGCCCAACACTGCTTCTAGAGGAATCGGGTTTAATAATAACTTGAAAATGCAGGAGAAAGGAAGAGAGAAGGGGCAGAGTGAAGGCAGGGGGGGCCCAAAGTGGAGAGCTGCACCAATTAGCTCCGCTAACAACAGGCAGCCTTTATCCCTGGCAGGAAGCACCCCAGCAAGCAATGAGTGACTCTGAGAGCTGAGAGGAGCCCACTTTTTCAAAGGGAAAATGTAATTTGTAAACAATCAACAACTTAACAAGCTATAAACAGCCAGCCCTGACTTCTAGCAGATTTACTGATGCTTGAGTGACTAAACTTCACAATGTTTTTCCAAACCCACATCTAATTTGTGGCCTGGTGTTCATTAGGAGGACAAGTCCCCGAGGACTGCCTCCAGCTCAGCTTCCAACATAATGATAGGGGGTTGGGGTCCGAGCACTGTTCCAGCCTGGGTGCAGGCCTGGGCAGTTCCATCTTCGCTTTCTCACCCTGTTTCAGGCTGGCCTTGGAACTGATAGGATAGGATCTGTTTGTTTTGTTTTAAAATTCGAGTGTTTCCGAAATCACCCATCATTTATCACTCATCTTAGATGAGCAATTGTGGGTCGTGGCTGGCTGGATACTTTTCCTCTGAACCCCTCCTCTCTCCCCCCTCCCTCTACCTCCCACCCCCGGGGGAAATCAAGAAAAACAAGATTCTACTTGTCCAGGCCCTCGGAGACTCCTCGGAATTGCCGGAATCGTCACAATAAGTGGTAGTAATAGAACCATATACAGGATTGTAAATACAAACTGCTCCATGGAGTGGCAAAAAATAATGAAGTAATTAGGTGAACTATTATCAGCACCTGTGACTGATTGGTACAAGCACGGTGCGGGCTTTATTACGTTGTTATTTGTCAGGAGCAGTATGCAGATTCTAAAGTTGCAGAAGTTCTTGCTCTTGGCCCAGCTTTCCTCTCCCAAGGGCCCTGCAGTCACCCCAAAGTGAGTTCATGCCAGGGTCCACAACTGGGTGCCTCTGGATGGGGACAGGTATACCAGCTCCCTTCTTGCAGAAACCCACAGTGCAGACGGGAGAGTCCTGCTTTCCAACCTATTAGAGTTAATGCCACTTTAATTAGCAATTGCCGGGAAGCCTAAGAGGTGCTATGTAATGCGCCGTTTCTAGGCTTACATGCATCCCATGGACAGGCAGATCCGAAGCCTGAGCCTGCTCTGATGTAAGACAATTGGGGGATAGAGACTTGCAGAGCAACTCACTATGGATTCTAAATGGAAAGAGCCAAACACTTAACCCGCATTTTTGTACCTGGCAGACTGCCTTTCCTCCTAGTTGGGATTTGTGCACAGAAGGGCCTCATTGCCAGTAATAATAGCAATTTGTGATGATAATAACAGCTAGTGTTTCTAGTATTATTGTGCACCAGGCCCTGCTTCAAGCGTTGCATATAACATACTTCTTTACTCCTGCAACAACCCAGTGAGCTAGAGGTCGCTATCATCCTCATTTATAGACAGAGACACTGAGGCACAGAGAAGTTAAGTAACTTGTCCATACAGAGCCAGATTTCCAACCCAGGCTGCTCAATGCCAAAGCACACATTCTTAATCTTCTATTCACTGCCCCTGCTTAGCAAGGCTATGGACCAAGGGATATTGATAGTGTGTCTGGCGCAGGCTGAGTACCACAGAGGGAAGTGCAGAAACAGAAAAGAGGTTGTACTAAAAACCAAGACAAGGGCACCAGCGGGTGGTGTTGTAGTTAAGGCACTGGACTCCCAGATGGTCAACCACAGTTTGAGTCCTGGACCTGGTGGCTTGCTTTCTCACTGTTCCTTTCTCTATCTCCCTCTGACTCTCTTTGGTCAAATTAAAAATAATAATAACAACAAATAAAATAAATAATTCTAAAAGAAAAAAAAAAGAAAGAAAAACCAAGGCAAGAAAAACAGTTTCTTCTAGATCTGCCAATCAGGAGAGTCCAGTACACTCCTTTAGAAGGGAAGGCAGGGGACCAGCAGCTGGCATAATGGCTATGTCACTGAACTCCCATGTAGTTGACCGCAGTTTGAGTCCTGGACCTGGTGGCTTAAACTCATGCTGGGCACGTGTGCGTGCGTGCCCAAGACCCCGAGAGGAGAATGGATTGTGGCATGGCCATTCCCTCTGGGGGGGGGGTGATTTCTTGCTTTCTGTCTCTCTGTCTTTCTGGTGAGTGCACACACCTTATAGCAAAAACCTCTCCGAAATAAATAAATAAATAAATAAATTAAAAAAAAAAAAAAGGAAGGGAAAGGCAGATGCGCAGGAACGAGGTTAGGACCAGAGTTCTCATTATCACTAGAGAACTGTATAATATAGAGAGAGCAGACCCGTCGCTAAGGGCCATGGGTACACACAGGCCTCTTTTGAGCTTCCTTCCACCAAGAACCTCTGAGAGTCCACAAACTTTGACTGTCTGGTTACTTAAGAATTTAATTTTTAAACCAATAAAATTCATTGGATGGTTAGCCAGGTGATTATATTTTGCAAACTTTGTTCCATCAGGCAGGTGGAATCATTTCCTCCCACCATCCGATGAACATTTTTTGCATAAGGAAGCTGAGCAGATGACCTTATTTTGCTTAAAGAGAGACCCCCGATTGTATAAGTTTCAGGCCGCTCAAACCTGGATCCACCGAATTTCTAGAAAAGGGAGCATTTGGTTTGGCTAACTGCTACAGCTCTGCCTGGCCCCCAAATCTGAAGCTCCTAGGTATTACACGTGAATGCACGTGTGAAGGCCTCTTCTTGGTCGACAGGGGCATGCTCACTTCCGAGAAGACAAGAAGCCGTGGAAGACAGCATGTGTTGGACTCATCATAAGGCGACTGACTCATCCAGTTTACCCGGGAGCATTCCAGTTGAAAAGTTGAAAGTATGTCTCGAACACCCTCTTATGCCTGGGCAAGCTGGGGATATTCACCACTCTACTTGTTGGGGACAGATGCGTGTCACCATTATTCACCTCGCAATTGGTGTGCCGGAGGTGCCCAGTAAATATTTGTTGAATGAATGGAATGTAAACCTTCTGAGCAGAGAGGAGGCAGAGTGCACGGTGACCTGAGGTGGGCAGCTGGGTTTCATGGAAATCAAGAATAAAAAAATAAGCCTGGGATGGTGAAGTGGGAACAGAACATTGTCATAACTGAGAGGAGGGATGTGGAATGCGATGAGGAGAACCTCTCCCTCCCAATCCAGAGACACTCTGCCCAGATTGCGGGAGAGTTTCTATTTACTTCTGAGCACCTCGTAACAGTGTGGCTCCCACTTGGAATCTCCAAGTCATCATTTTCTCAGCGTGGAAACAAAGCCTGTGTCCGAGGCAGAATTCCGAGCACAGGCTGAATCTGGCTGGGGGTAAACGGTGCCCCAGGCAGGATGGCGGCAGGCTTTGGGCATGCGGGCGAGCTGTTCTGGCCCTGATTCCACATGCTGTGTAGACTCCAATTACCCGAGGACTTAGAGATCAAACAGCCCAACTGTGGTGCACAATAATGGAGGAGGTCTTCATTTTCCTTTGCGCGACACCCTTCTAGCCAGACCGTGCAAACAATGCATTGCATTTATGTCCTCCTGAGCCCCGAACCTTCCTGAAATTGTCCTGGGCCAGCTCAGCAACCTCTTCATGATATGGACAGAGGAGAAAGTTTGATATTTTAAAGAATTGTGTGACTCTTGCTGGACTGGGCAGAATATCACGGTAACCTCAGATAGCTTTATTGGAAGCTTATACTTCTGTTTTGCAAGCACAGAGCATTAAAGAAGAAGGCTATTTATTTTTATTTTTAGGTATCTTTTTAAAGGTGTAGTATAGACTTGTGGGGAAAAATAGTTTGCATCTGCTCTTAGCTGAGCTGTGGCAGGGTACAGAAGACTTGATAGACAGAAAACAGGAAATTGCCCTGGGCCAGAGACTGGAATTCTGTGAATTTTATTTTTTTCCCCTCATACTACAAACAGGATTTAAAGTGAGGGTGAGAGCAGCCAAAAATTAGTCTGATTTTTCTTTTCAACTATAATATCATTAATAGGTAAATATTTCAGAAAATACAGTCACTTCTAATATTTAAGGTTGAGGAAATCAGAAGGTTTTGCATTTTGTTTTTGTAGACATCTACCTCCATAGGCAACAACAGAGCCTTAAGCCTGTCAGTCTGGTTTCTTTTTACAGGCCAGCATTTTTAATGGACCTCTAGCTTTCAGATAATGGGTTTTTAAAATTGAGAATAGTGCACTACAACAATAAGAAACATCAGACATTTTTGATACATGACTTCCCTTGCATGACAATCAGAGCTTCATGTTGCTACTTGTTTACAGGCTTTCCTAAACATGAATGCTACCGACACCTTACTCTGATCAGTTTCCCTTCAAAGAAAGGTCTATTGATAAACAGAACGAGAGACAAATATTTGAGATATAGCTGAAGCTCTATCGCAATTTGGGGATCAGGATTATAGTTCTAAAGGCAAATGCAAATATCTTTGGAGGCTGAGCATTTTATACTGAAAACATAGGTTATAATGGAAATGAACCTTAACATGAAGGGGAAATGACCTTGTAGCATTTTTGTCTTTGTGTGTGTGGGGGGGGGATGTATTTATTAAATCATTTTTCATTCGATGATCTTAAAAAGCAGTTCAACATAACTTTGAAAGCAGAACTATTCAAGCATTCAAAGATACTAACACGGTAAACTAGTGAGAAGCCAGTTTTTTTCTGCCTGTGAGACTCCTTGACAATTCATCTTAATTTTAGTTATTTATCCTCAAATCTTGAAGGCTTATTTAATGATTTTTGTAAAATTTCCAGCTAAACTACTTATTGTCTCCCGTTAAATTATCTTGAAGATACTTAATGCTGATTTCTCGTGTGTGAAGAACTTTTAAAGTCCACACTCTATTTTCCAATACTACTTTCAGATTTTTTTCATTCTTCTACTGCACTAGCCCCAGAATAGAAAGTTAAAATCAGATTGTCCATAATCATTATGTAGGACATTGTGGTCATTGTTGCAAAAACATCATGATTATGCATACATGTAAGAACTGAGATCTTCCATGGATTAGCACCAATGGCTGGGTAAAAGAAGGCCCCTGTAGTGGAATCATCTCTCTGCATTTCTGAGAGTCAAGTCAGTCCTCCCAGCTGTAGAAGTCACGGCCAGGTCATGAATTTTTGCAAACGGTGACAGTTTCTGTGGGAAGAAGGCTGCGAAAGTCAGGCTACTTACCTTGCTTTAGACCACAATTGTGGCAGGGAAGTGTCTGTGTTTGCTTCTTAGTTTTGCTCATCCGTGTCCAGAAAGAAAACTTTTTCTTGACTAGTTACTTCTTAAGGACGCAAGTATTTTTGAAAATACTGTGGTGCGCTTTCCTCAGTGATTCCTCTCAGTTTAAAACCTTAAAAATGAACCAGTATCTCGTGGTTGCCAGACAAGCGCTGAAATTCGGAGCAGACTTCTCCCAAGAGCCTTTCCACAGTCTGCGCACAATTTCACAGATAGCCACTAGATGGCGTATGACAACCATTTGTGTCAGCCGTATGGAAACGCTTCCCAAAGGAGCTCTGAAACAATTCCTCCAAGACATCGTCGTTATTAGATGATGATTATCATTTCCGTCTTCACAGGTAAACTTCAATGGTCCTGATTTACGTTTCGGAAGGAGGGGGAAGTTTTTCACTGGAAGAAGCTTTATGAGAATGCACACTGTCGTGATGATGTGTCCCTGTTCATAAACACTAGCACTTGATGCTGAATTAAGACACCGATTTTAAATGTCGATGCATATCTACCCATTTATCTATCAATACTTCAAAAAGCATTTAAGAAGTGTCTACTGTGTGTGATTGTTACCTGTGCTTCTAACACATTGAAAGAACATTTCATTACCAGAAATTAGTACAAGTACAGAAAATTAACACAATTCTATGCCATACAGCTTGACCATTATATAGTGCTAAGACTAAATATGCTTCTGAAATTTCAGTAGCTTTTTTTTTTAAAAAGAATTATTTATTTAATTTCCTCTATTATTATGAATATTTAATTCACCAGAGAAGGGGAGAGAGAGAAAGTGAGAAAGCAAGCTGCCTGGTTCAGGACTCAAACCATGGTCAGCCATGTAGGAAATTCAGTACTCTGATTCCCATGCCACCTGCTAGCCCCAGTGGCTTCATTTTATTTTATTTTTTTAAGAATTATTTTATTTAACTTTATTTATTTATTTATTTTAACTTGACCGCAGAGGGACAGAGAAGGAGAAAATGAGAAAGCAAGCCACCAGGTCTGGGACTCGAACTGTGGTCAGCCATGTGGGAGTCTGGTGCCCTTAACCACCATACCACTTGCCAGCCCCAATAACTTCATTTTTTTTTCATATTGAGTAAACTTGAATGTCAGGAACAACAACAACAAAAAATCACATGTTCTCTTTTCCTTTATAGCAAAATAGGAGTCTCTTTGCCTTAATACATGTAAACTGCTGTAAAGGAAATAAGTTAATAAATACAGTTCTCTAGTGCAGTAAGTTTTCTCTTTTGGGTTTGTGGTCACTTAGCATGAGAGTGAAATATTCCATAACATCATTTTTAAAAATATCGACTGGTAAACCTGAATAATAATGGCTTTATCACAAAGTGCTCAGAAAGACCTGAGAAAAACCTCGTCAAAAGCTAGGTCCACACCTGTGGAGGGTATTAAGCGCTATCTAAAGATCCTTTATAATTTTAAAAGTCAATGGTTTGGCCGCATTGGAATTTTTCACCCTTCTCAAAATAGGTGTGATGTATTTGCTAAGCCAGCCTCTAACCAAAAGGAAAGAATGGTCTCATTTTTAGAATTACTGGTCGTTTGTTTGAACTGAAGAATTAGTTGCATTTCAAAATAAGGATATGTCTAATTAGATGATTAAAACATACAGAGCATTAAATTATAAGCAGATGGGGGGGAAATTAGTAGGAAGTGGGGGGCACGGGTGAGAGGGTTTGCTCAAGGCCTGAGTCAAAAGAAGCTAACAGCCCTGGGTCCTCTTCAATAATACAGAAGATGATCATCGAAGCCACAGAGGGTAAGAAAACAACCTCCAAAGAGAAATCTCTCCCACTTTCTCTCCGATAGACAGCAACCTGCAAAAAGAGCCAGAAAGGAAAACCCACGTGTATTTTAACAGTTGAAAGAGATGGCCATTGTCGAAAGGAGATGGATACTCAAAGTGATGCCTGGAAAAGGAGCCAGCCATCCCTGCAAAGGCCTCGTAGCTGAGAGCAAAGGCGAAGACGCTCAGACAGGCCCAGAATAGGTCGCTGTTCAGGAGCTGGGCGTTCACCCTTACACGGAAGACGGACCTCTCCCTGCCTGTCCTCTGGCCCTGGTTGTTCATGAAATGCCCCTTCTTTTCCTTCTTCCCTGAAATGTATCATTTCAAATGCTGCCCTGTATAGTTCAAAGAGAACAGTTTGAGGGGATAGAGTTTAGGGCAGCCAAGAAGGAAGCCAAGCGAATGGGAGCAGTTCTCAGACTGTGCAGGTTGCCTGGTAAGTGGTCCTTTCTGCTTCAGCAGAATCCATGCGAGTTTTATCTTGAATTTCTATCAGACTGCATTAAGCAGGAGCTGGTTCCCTGGAAACTGGCTTTTATTTATGTATTTATTTATTTATTTCTAAATCTATGTCGTGTCTCTATCTTTCCCGGGATATACAATGGCAGTTTCGACCCATTCGAGCTGCCTTCCTGAACAGTGGCACCGATTGTCTCCCAGTGCAGGTTAATGGATGTAGGGCTAGAGATAAAGGAAATAAACCCTTTAAGATGTTGTCTAATTTTTAAAAGGCATCTCACCTTCCTCAGTTGTGTGTCCTCTTTGTCTCGGATGTCTGCAAAGGAGAGGACAGCCCTGCCGTGGCGATGGTGGCTTGCACCCAGGGCCAGGTGGGCTCCAAGTAAAGGTGAGGGTCACTTTCAGAATTGAAATCGGTTCTTGCTTTAATAACAGAAAGAATACCCCAGACAGGAGCCGGTGTACACACCCACAGACTCTCAGCCTCCTAAGAAGTTGGCTACCCTTGCTCCGTTTCAGGTGAGACCCACTGCCCCCAGGTGTCTGCTGAAGTTTCCCATCAGCACTTCGAGGTCTGGCCTCAGTGCAGTGAGCACCGCTCTGAAAACCGGCCAATTATTGGAGAAGCTTATCTACCCAGCATCACGCACATGGGAGGATTCGAGCCATTGAGACCGCTCTGCCCTGCACCTAATGAAATCTCTCAGAGCCTTCTCTGCCAGGAGATGACGGCGACATGTTCAGGAACTGAGGGGCTGGGTCTCCTTCCCAAATAATTTGCTCCATTTATCAGGAGGGTTGAGGCAGGGATGGGAGTTAAGGGGATGTCACTAACCACACTGGCTGATTAGGGGAAATAGTCTAGCTCCCTCCTCTGTCCCCCCTCTGAGGACGTAAGATCTTAATCTTTCCTCATTAAATTTTAAAATTCCTTCACATGTGTTCTATTGTGAGCCCCTGTTAGTTTTTGGAAAGAAGATGGGCCAGAATGTGTGAATTTAGCACTCAGGTATACAATATAAACAGTGTCTATGCCATGACGCACCTTTGGAGATGTGCTCTTTGGAGATGCGGCCGTACCCATTGCTCTGTGGGAAAAGAACACTCTTGAGGGGCTGACAGGTTGTACCTTTAGCAGCTACCAGCCAGAGTGAAAGGTGGGGCTCAGAGTCTGGGAAAGGGGTGGGGGATTAGTTGGCAGCCAACCTAAAGCAAAGCTTTTTGGGGCTTAGTAAGGGAATGAGACGGTGCTGACCAATGGCAGAGGAACAGGCATGGGGAGGGTTGTCCTCTCTTTGGGGATGGGAAGGAGCCAAAGGCATGTGAGTTCCTGCCTCTGTCCGCCTGAATGCCGCTGACACCCTTCCTGGTCTCTCCCAGAGCCTATAGGTATAAAGGGATGCCTGTGGCTCTGGACTGGGGAGGAGCCAGAATCCTGATTTGAGTTCTGCCTCTGTGCCAGGCTGACAAGCCTCCATGACAACCTGGAATATGTCCTCCAGAAACTCAACAGAGTGGTCGTCCTTATTGTCCTTGTCATCATCATGTCCTTCATCAAAGTAACAATGGATGCCGATGTGTTGACAGCCTTCTGCCTTCAAGGCACTGTTCTAAGCACTTCCTGCTTTGTGTCATTAGCGCTTCCTGGCACGCTTGCTCGAGTCAGTGCCACAGTCACCCCCAGCCCTGGTCAGAAGAATACTTGGTGCATCATAAGAGCACCAGGAAGAACCATCACTCTGGCATTCTACGTGAAGCGTTTGCATGAGATCAGTCCTTTGGAAGAGACCAGAGGAAGCGCCATGACCTTCTAGGTATCAAAGAGCGATTAGTTCACACTAATTCACAGAGCGCCTCTTCCATGTCCTTGTGGAAAATTCTAGGCTGCTGGCTTTGCCTGCCCCACTGCACTGGCATGCTATGCTGGGCCTGTAAAGGCGCGCTGACTGAGTGCACAGGGCACTGGGAGGTTTGCTCTTCCTGAGGATGAGGAGAGGCGATGCGGAGTGGGGAAACACTGCAGTGTGCAGACAGACACCTCTTCTGCCTTCAGCTCCAAGCACTGTTTCCCCACCTTCATGTCTCAAGCAGCACCTGAGGGCAGTGGTTAAAGACGCAGATGCCTGAGCCCCACCCCGGAAGATGCTGACTGGCTGAGTTTGGTGTGAACCCGGGGATGGACATTTTTACCAAGATTCCCAGGTGATCCTGCTGCTGGTGGCCCATGGAGCTGCCTCTGAGCATAAAGACCCAGAGGAGACAGAGATTAGAGTAGACTGGGGTGGTGCTGGGTGCTTCCCAGAGGAGAAGAGGAGGCATTGGGTAGACCCTGACCTTTATCACAGCTAGGGGCATTTACCCCAGTGGGGTCCCCCTCCCCACCACACACACACTTCCCAGAAATAAACCTCAACTGTTCAGGACAGAGCGCCTGTAAGGAGAAGCCGAGACCAGCCCAATCCATGCATTCTGCCTTGAGAGCAGATGCTTGGGAGGAAGAAACAAGGCTACAACTAGCTCTGGGGTCCCAGGGTGCAGTTCAGGGCTCAGACCAGCCAGGAGGAGGCCGAGGGGCGCCTTGCTCAGCATTTTGTCCAGCTGCCTGGATGGAAACAACTGAACTTCAAAAGAAGCATGAGGCTTACCCAACGGCAGCTGTGGATGTGTGAGTGGGTGGGGCGCCAAGGAGAGTGGAGGAAAGAGCTGGAGAACAGAGGAGGAAGAGAGAGAGAGAGGGTAAGAGAGAGAGATTCAGGGAGGAAGTGGACTGCCTCAGGTCTGGGTGTATTTCTAAGGGGAGGTGGGTATACTTGACATTGTGCTCTACATTTGTATTTTAATCAACACTGAACAGTCAAATCGCCCTGATAATCCCTCGAATATCCATGCAGAGAAATTGTTTCAT